TTTCGCGTATTTATTGCTGATTTAAGTCGATACTGATACAAGTAGTAATCAAATTCCTTTGCAAATACCAAAACTCACCATTAAACTAATCGATTCTGTCTCAATAAATTCCGCAGCTTGTCGATGATTGGCCACGATTCATCGCGATAAAACGGCAGGAAGCGAACAGGAACCATCGACAACTTCGTCCCACTTTAAAAATCCGATAATTTCCAATAGACCAGAAGTAGGAAAGGTCAGTTTCGAATGAGAACTATGGGTTAAATACTATCAAGTTATTCCTGGGCCGAAACGAGTTGCGTGCGGATCTATGACTGGAAATCTCACAACAAATAGCACTTCCATTTATGTAATTGTTTATTGCGACATGGAAAGTTGTTTCACTGGAGACACTTTATTGTTATTGCTGTTTGCTGATTTGCGAGACAATGCTTGAAGAACGCCTTCGTTCTTCAAATGCTCTTTATTGCCTGATTCTTCTTTCAGACAACTTGACCGTTAGCCAAATATTTAGTTGTTCTCAATTCCTTGATGTTACTTATGAAAGAACAGAGTAACTCGTAAACCTCCAGAAGGAAACCGTAGTTTAATTCATTCAAATTCAGTTAAAATTCTTTTGAAAGACCAAAGTTTTCACGTTTTTCGATTGTCTGCAGTTTTCTTTGGAAATTTCCGGCATGTTCAAATGCATTCATTTTCCGTTTCCTTCGGTTTCACAACATCCGGTTTTCAGCAAAATGTTTCGCGCAAAATCTCCAGTTCGGTTTTTTTTTAAATTAATTTCCAGCATCTTCAAATGTATTGCAAAGATGAACATCTTCACTTGCTTTCGTTCTATTTTTGCACATTGAAAATATCTGAAAAATCCGCCAGGTTTTGATCTAAATGGTTTCAACTTTCTGAATTTACCTTCAACTAGATTTTAAAGATAAAGTCTTCAATTTCTTCCATGATCACAATCAAAATCAAAATAATGATTTAAGTCTTCAGTTTTGAAAATGCATTTGCATATTTTTTTCTGCGGTTTCGTTTCTTTCGGAAATTTTGCGGAACTTTCAAATACATTTTAAAACCATAGATCTTCACCTTCTCTGTTTTTCTGCATATTTAAAATTTGTGAAAAATTCACCAAATTCTAAGCCATAAACCTGCGAGGTTGTAAAATTCAAAATTTACTCGAATATTTCCGCCTATAGCTAAGTTTTTTTTGAAAATTTTCGGCATCTGCAAATGGCACTTGAAAGTTGAAAATCCTCACTTGTCTCCTGTTTCTGGCATATTTCAAATCGAACAAAGATTCACCAAGTTCTGAGGAAAAAACCTGCGAGTTTGCAAAATTTACTGGAATATTTCCGCCTATAGCTAAGTTTTCTTTGAAAATTCCCAGCTTCTTCAAATGGCACCTGAAAGTTGAAAATCCTCACTGTCTTCTGTTTCTTGCATATTTAAAATCGAACAAAGATTCACCAAGTTCTGAGCCAAAAACCTGTGAGTTCGTAAAATTCAAAATTTACTCGAATATTTCCGCCTAAAGCTTCATTTTCCTTGAAAATTCCCGGCATCTTCAAATAGCACCTGAAAGTTGAAAATCCTCACTGTCTTCTGTTTCTTGCATATTTAAAATCGAACAAAGATTCGCCAAGTTCTGAGCCAACAATCTGCGAGTTCGTAAAATTCAAAATTTACTCGAATATTTCCGCCTAAAGCTTCATTTTCCTTGAAAATTTCCGGCATCTTCAAATAGCACCTGAAAGTTGAAAATCCTTACTGTCGCCTGTGTCTTAGATATTTAAAATCGAACAAAGACTCACCATGTTCTGAGCCAAAAACCTGCGAGTTCGCAAAATTCAAAATTTACTCGAATATTTCCACCTAAAGCTTCATTTTCTTTGAAAATTTCCGGCATCTTCAAATGGCACCTGAAAGTTGAAAATCTTTACTGTCTTCTGTTTCTTGCATATTTAAAATCGAACAAAGATTCGCCAAGTTCTGAGCCAAAAACCTGCGAGTTTGCAAAATTCAAAATTTACTCGAATATTTCCACCTAAAGCTTCATTTTCTTTGAAAATTTCCGGCATCTTCAAATGGCACCTGAAAGTTGAAAATCCTCACTGTCTTCTGTGTCTTGGATATTTAAAATCGAACAAAGATTCACCAAGTTCTGAGCCAAAAACCTGCGAGTTCGTAAAATT